TGATGCTCAGACTGATCCTTTGACCTTTGAATGGTCATTGCCCAAATCGGTGAAGTATACAGGATGGTGATCTTTCTACCATTACTTCCAGTTGATTAGCTGAGGTTCTTCTTTGAGGAACTTTCCTTGTTCTCTGAAATAAAGGTTATACAAAATGTAACTTTCATCTTCATTGACAGCTTATAAAGTAAGTGTTTAAGTTATATCCAGGGCCATTCCGTAAGCTATGAGGACTCTCTCACTTCCTTGCTTTGTTATGAATTCACAGGTCTTAGGTACAGTATTTCGTGTGTTTCAATCACTTGCACTCTTTTTCTTTTCTTTCCTTCTCCTCCCTTCTTTGCCTTCCTCTCTTGCTCCCTCCTGTATTCCTCATTCTTTTTTATTTCTTGCTTCCCAAGGGTCAAAGTGTATCATCTTTGGCCAGTGGGAGCTGTTTGTTGGCTTATCTTTGGACTCATTATCCTTTGAAAATTTTCTTGCATTCTGGTACAAAATATTGCAATATTATCTTGTATATTCCTTGTTCTAGACTTATAATTAACCAAATTAGCTGTTCCTGGCTGGAGATTATAATACAGACATTAGGGCTGCTCGTTAATATTTTAGTTGTTATTATTTCTAGCACTTTTCAATGTCCAGAGCTGATTTTTTAAACTTAGAATTTTATTATTTAACTCCTTTGATTTTATACTTATTCTTCTGTCTTTTTTTCGGAGACAAAGTCTCACTGTAGTTCAGCCTGGCCTTGAACTCATTAAGAAACCCAGGCTGGCCTTGCAGTGATCCTCCTGTCTCAGCCTCCCAAGTGCTGAGATTACAGACGTGCATCATCACGCCCAGCACTCATTTTCCTGAAATAGAAAATATTGGCTCTTAACATTATTAATATACACTAATATGTATCAGTATTATAACATATATAATGTTAGCATTATGAATGTACAGACATATAATATTACTTTGAAATTGTTCTACATTTATATGTAACTTCAAAATTACTAAATACATGGTATAATAATTCAAACTTATATGTTAAAATGCTAATATATGTTAAATATACTAATATACTAGTTAATACATTATATGCTAAATAATACATTAATCAATATTTAAATGTTATTTAATGCACATAAGTGTACAACAGTTTCAAAGTAATAATATTACTAACAGACTACTGAATGAAATTTAAACCTTTGAAGTGCTTTCTTCCTTAGAATATGCTAGAGTCATTGGAGATATTCTTTTTTTCGTATGGCAAGATCATAGACTTAATGTATATTAAGCTTTCTTCCTGCAACTTACTTTCAGCTTTTACATATTGCATTTTTTTCTTGACTTCATTTTATTTTTCAGATACATAAAGAATCTTTTGGTTTACAAAGTCATAATAATTTTCTGGATATATATAAAAAATTATATTTCTTTTTCCTATACAAGTAACTATTTTATTCATTTTTCTATTAGTAATTATTCTCTCATTATTTTATTCATTTATTCTTAGTTTTCCTTCATGTTTCTTTCTACAAATATAA